CCTATAACAGAGGCTCCCAAGCTATAGGTCGCGACCCAAAAGTTGGTTACGATTATATTTTTAGTGGGTCGCGTTATATTTATCATGTGTTTCTATTACCTATGGTTGATGTTTAATTATTTAGTTAGTTTTATCATAAACTGTTATCTGCATTTATGACAATTACAAATTTACTGCGACCAATAGACATAATAATAATTCTTTATATGTCAATGCTTGACTGTGTCAACACGACGCAATCAGATTAATGATTATAGAAAATATAGCAATATTTTTAATATATTTGAAACAAATTAGTACCTGTATGACGTTCAAATAAATTGATTGTTTTCAGTAATACGTATGGTACATTGAATACTATACATGCACGCAGTTTAAATATTACTATTTTTCATTTTTCAAATAATCAATAAATTCGTTTTTTTTTTTTTTTTGTACTTTTGTACAGTTACTATGGACAAATGGTTAAATAAAAATTCAATGACTCAAAGTTCTGCGAAAACTGAAGAAACAGAGATAATATCTGAATCAGCATTTAAAAAAAGAAAATTAATTGATGATGAGCTTACAATAAGTTCTTTGCAATCAAAATAAAAAAGTGGATATCAATGCAGTTATGAAAAATAGGAAAAAATTACATCCTTCACATTAAAATTATATACTTACTAATTAAATTACTAAATTACATAGTATAAACTTTTTTTTATAAATATAATACTTTTCTTCAATTTTAAATGATGAAAACAGCAAAAAAAAAAAAAGGGTCAATGATATTATTTTGGGTCGTCAAAATTAAAAAAACTTCCATAATGGATCGTACTATAGGAAGTTTGGGAACCTCTGACCTAGAAGTTGCACCTTGTAGAAAAATTACGAAAAAAATACGAAATATTTTTTTGAATTATATTCTTGAATTATTTTCAAATATGGAAAAAAAATAGCTTTTAAGATTAATTTACACTTTTTATGATTTGTAAAGATTTCAAACCCCTTCCAACTGTAAAGAATTAAAAAATATATGCATGAGCATATATTTCCGACCTTTAGTTATCTCATTTAAAATAAAATCTTAAATTACGTATTTCATCTTCATTGTTATAATAGTCAGAAATATTTTTAATAAATAGCCACACTTATAGATTAAAGGAAAAAAAATCGATGTGTATGAAAATATTTATTGGTGCCGTATTTTGTACTTTTAAACAAAATAAAACAATTGGGTCCATTAAATATTTTGAAATTTTTACTTAAATTTTTTGATTTTAATTACACACATAATTTTCAACACCAAAATATATACCTAAATATATGCTAGATGATTTTAAAATATTATCTTCGAGGATTGAAAAATTTAATAATACTATAAATTTGTGTTTTCAACCTCATATATGATTTCACAAATAATTTTTATTACAGATTGCCCAGCAGTAAATTTTATCACAGGAAAAAAAACATGATATAAAATTAGCACATTATTAAAGTCGTTCGAAATTTAAAAGTATTTATTAAGAATTTATTGAGAGTGATTATATTAAACAAAACTTCTAAAAATTAGGCTGGTAAAAAAAATCTCTTAGAATTTAACGGATACTTAAATATTTTATCTTTAACATCAAAAAATAATCAATGAGTAATTTATAGTTTATTTTCTAATGATTAATTAATAAGTTCTTAATTAAATTAAATTTGTATTTAGTTTCAGCATAAAAAGAAGTTTTTCTAATGCATAAGGATAACGATAAATATTAATAAAATAATTTTTCATATACACTTTTCTGCTTATTTATAAATTATACTAATTATTATAATTATGGCAGAGCTTGCGCTAATGGGTAGTTCTAAATTAAATGGGCAATTTTAGAAACCAATTTGGTCAGAACCAAAAGTCGTGAATTTTCTGTATTATTGGAATATGTAATATTGTTTAATTCAATTATGTATTTTATTTAATATTTTTTGTTAAATAAAAAAAAAAATATTTTAATCTGTTATTATTAATAACAAATTGTAATAAAGTGTTTACATGTGTAGTCAATATATAGTTTAGTAAACAGTGGTTGTTAAGCGAATTTAGCGAGCGATAAATTTATTTAATCTGCATGTACAAAAATATTAAAATGTTGGGCACTTCTAAAATTTTCTTAGCGCAAGCTTTGAGTTATTGTATGAATGTTATATATGTATTTCATTACTTAAATTCAAAAATATTCAAAAGCAGTAATTCAAAAACCATTGGTAATGTTTAACCAGTGCTCGTAATGGGAGGTGCGCAGGGGGGCGGAGCTCCTCTACTATTTTTTTTTTTTTTTGCATACCCCAATTATATTTTTTCATCGGAACGGGGGGACCCCACGTTCATCCTAATTGATGTCCAAAATAATTTTTATGTGAATTTCAATTTAAGTCAATTGGAAAATGAATTTTACGATTTATAATATTAAAACTATTTTTATAATTAAAGATTATATGGTGGTTATGATTAGGGACAACATCGTCATTTCTGGAAAAATATAAATAGTAATGTCTGTGAATTTGGTGTATTATACTTTATACATTGTATGATTTGTTATTAATATTGGCGATCGACGATATCATCATTTCGGAAAAAAAATAAATGCCTTCACCACGACCTTCAACTAATCTTCTAAGGCCGTGGCCTGCACTAAAGAGTAAAAATAAATAAAAACAAAAACCAAATATATGATTATATCATTCATGAGACTGCCTGAACGCCTACAATTACCTATGTTAATTATTATTTTATTTTTATTTTCTATTCTAACATATAGGATGTTGGTATTGCTATCAAAATATATTATATTTGGAATTTAAATATTTGTTTAGTTGAAAAGTGGTATTCAATATATTTAAGGTTGGTGGAGGGGAAGAGGGACGAAGCCCCCCCACGGGTCTGTGTCAAATAATTGCGCATGTGGAACTCAGTTTTCAATTCGTTGGACTGAGCTCCTCTACTTAATTTTTCCCAATTCGAGCACTGAGTTTAACTATTAACAGGTTTGAAAAAGTGAAATATTAATGAGCTTATAATTAAAAATGTCTCCTATGAAGTATTTTACCAAAGTTGATAGCTGGTTTTCTCTATTGTAAACTAGTAAATGATTAAAAACATGGAAAAGTTGTGAAATTTTGATCCATCCTTCCAAATTTAATTTTACTACTAAAAAGTACTAATTCTAAATAGTAGTGATAGTATTCGACTAATATATTTTTACACCATTTATCCTATCATAACATACTATATAATACCACTCCCAAAAAAAGTGTTCTTGCACATTGTACACATTTAATTGCCCACTAATGTATTAAATTATCCGTTTTCCGCTATTCGAGATCACGTTATCACGTCTCGATATTTCTTATACCATATTACAACGATTTTTGGATATAATTCCAAATAACGCACTTACAAATCTTGATATAGGACCGAGTTTCGAAAGCTAAAAATGTTCATTAAATTTCATATATTAAAATTGTTTGACATTGTGATGTCATTTGTGAACACAATGTCCTTACAAGTTCATTATTTTCTGACTGTAAAAACATGCTTTGTTTGATTAGAATTTTTTATTCGTGTTGATTATTGTTATACGAGCTGACGTTTATAGAAGTATAATATTTTAATTTTGTTATTACATTATTAACAAGAATTTTCTTTATAAATTATTTTAACACACTAAACGTGTATCAGATATTTATGCAATGTTTATATTAACCCAAAATAGTTATTTGTTTTATTTTTCAATTAACAACCAGTGTACTAAAAATGTTGCTGACAACGCCTAATAAATTGGTTCTACACACATTGAAAATAAAATAAAATGAATACAATAATTCGGACTTTGAACGTTAAACCATCCGATTTTGTTATTTTATTTGCTTTTACAATAATATGACCGTATAGAACGTGTTCAATTATTGGTAACTGCTACAATAGTACACTCGTTAATAACTCAATATAATAAAAATTCTTGGTAAATTACCGTGATTAGAGCATCATCAACTATGAAAATGATTAATTTGATGATATAGCTTATGCGAAAATATGTCAGCCAGTCTATATGAATTTTTGAAACAGTTTTTACATTGTTTAGTGTTAAAATTAACTGCCTTCCGCTTACCACACGTATTATTCACATTTCGAGAAATTTCCCCCCATGCGGTAAATAACTTACGAGTTTCGTTTTACTTTAGACTTTTCGTATTGATTTGTAAGAACTAAGATAAGTGCATCGTTTCATGTTTATCAAGATAACATGCACATTTATTTTTACGAAGTAATTTAACAACATTATAAATAGATTCTTCGATACAAAATATATTCTCGACCACAGAGTTGCGCGTCCATCATATCCGAAACCGAGGACTCGCATGCAAGTATGTATAACAAACTTAGGTATAGTAAAAAAATGATGTGATATAATCATACGTCGTTTTCTCTCGTATTGACATGTTGTGATTATTGTAGAACTATTAAACTGAACCATAAATAATATTGAATTCCAAGAACTTCGGACAAATTCAATTGACATTAATGATTAAACCGACCTACATGATTTTAATTCGACACGAAAATGCTTTACACAATTTTTCTCGTCGTCCATAATAATTTAATTCAAACGTAGGTAAACGTATTGCATTATTGGAAATCCAAGGCTAATTTTCAGAAATGTGATATATGAAGTAGGTATTAAGCCCAGAAATTATTTTGTCTATTTCTTGTCGAATTTCCTTATGAGAAGCTAAATTAAATAAATATATTTCTCTTTGTGCCAAGTTTCAGTCGACGGTCGATATGATATATACTATTATTTTTTTGCGGTTGGTAAAACTTTCGAAGTGATATCGAAAAATAACATTTCGAATCGAGTTTGTAAACGAAACACAAAACGTATCGAGTGCATAGGTGGAGTAGGCGTGTAGTGCTGTTACGTACAGCGTAAATGGCATTGACGATGCATATACGCCGGACATAACGCAATTCGAATAGAAAAAAAAAATGGAATACGACTGACCTTTAATTGACGATTGTTTTTATTTTCCGTATTCATTATACACGGTTCTCGAAAAGAAAAACGTTCAAATCGACGGCGGCGTCTACTACTCAGAATGCGAAAACAAATCTATATATGCGGTGTGTACACATGTATTTTACACTTTGATACAGTGTGTAGTGAAACAGTTGAGCGCGTTATGCGCGTACGTGTGTTACAATGATCGTTACAAACATGTTCAGCTCCGCCGCATATCATAGGAAATAGATGTACATCACACTAACAGCGTTATAGAATCAAAATAATATCCTATCATGGCTCGCCATGGAGATGCGAGAACGCTAAGAGATGGTCTTCATATCAGATTTCAGCGGAATCAGTCATTCCACGATCTCCGTCACTTAGCTGTCCGGTGCCGAGGTGTGTAATTTATAAACTGTGCAGTGTTTGTGCCCAATTCATTTGTTTGCGTACACATTTAGTACACAGTTGTTTATTAGCGAGTTAACGATTTACACCGCTGCGAATTTATTTGATTTTTAAAAATGTTTTAATTTTATCCTGGCATTTCGTGTGTGGTATCTGTATATCCGTTCACGAGCAACTGCCCACAAATAATTGCACGTAACAGAAAGTCAAAAAAATATTTCAGCGGTTTAAAGGTTGGTTTGAAACTTACATTTTTATTTTACACGATGCGTGAATTAATCTGTTAATCATGCGTATCAATGTATGTACCGCTGTATCAGTATACAAAATTATACACACACGCACGCATAGAATTCTATGTAAGAATGTATTTACATTCATATATTACGACCTACTTGAGATTTTCTTTTGTCTTTTTGAATGCATAGATTTATCGCATACGTTTTCCAACTCTTTCAAAGCGTTATTTTCAAGTTATTTTCAATGCAAGTAGCTTTTAACACCTTTTAATCTAACTTAACTATATATTATAGGTAATAATAAAAATGGGTTATCTCGTAGTATTATTGTGTAGGTACTATAATAAACATAATTTAAAATTAACCTATCAACCTTCACTGATTTACGTACAAATAAATATTTGAAAATTCATCATCATTAAAACTATTGATACACAGTGAATAAAAATTATTCTCCCGCTTTTATCATTGATTTTTGTATACTCGGTAATATAAGTTTTATGGAAATAATACGAGTAAAACAATACTATTATTATTTTATAATTATTTGCAAAGTTTAATTGTTTTCTGCTGTTATTTTTAAATTTAAAGTTTGTATCAGTGGTCCACGACTACCAAGCAGGAGTTTCATTATGAATTCCAAATCAATTTATTGCAGAAAGTATGTAAATTTTAAATTAATCCTGTACCTTGTCCAGTCGGTTATAAATATATTGATATTACCAAAGTTTTAAAATGTATTAATAATACTATTTTAATTTCACAAATTCATTTATTCAGTAATTGTATAATCTTTTTTTATGTCTTATATATCTTATGTTTTATTTGCTTAATATAATAACAGTTTTCAAAATAATTAGAACCAATGCCAAGTCAACGATATATGGAATCTCAATCTACCGAGATTAAAGATTAAAGACATATTGATTACTGAAGATGTCATCAAAACGTTTAGTTAATTATTAATAAAATCGATGGTATACTAATATCAATCAAATACCTCAGAATCTTTATCGTCCCAAATATAATGAGACTTACTCAAATTGACTCTCTCGTTTTAGACAAAGAAAGACCGCCTAATAAATTGGGGTGTTGCTAGATTTTAACCAGCATTAGCATATTTATGGGGGATGTCCAGGGGTACTGGACTTCCGCAGAACTCAAAAATATAGAACTCTGTTTTTTCCCGTGAACAAAATATTTATTTAAAATACAGTTTAAAATTAGCTATGGACGCAGTCGAACGTTCGAAAACTTATTATGCGCGGATTATATGTATCACCACTTTATAAATAGGTACCCGTATTTCTTTATATCAGTATAAGTATATCATGTCGATATTATTCAACCCCTTCCCCAGAAAAAAATTGAAAATGCGCCACAATATACCAGAGATAAGAGAGTCGGCGGTACTCTGTGCTGGATTTAGGAAATTTGAAGCCCGGGACTAAAAAAATTGAACTCCTTTACATAGGTGGAAGTACCGGGTATGTTCATGATTTTTTATATCTAAGTACACCTGAGACCTTTTGATTTTTATAGTAAATTCGCGGTTTTACCTTTATTTTGTAATCATCATCACATTATTAATTTCAGTTATATATTATGTAACATCTTTGCATTTAAATATTGGAACAACTAAAAAAATATCAATATTTTTAATTGTTGTTCATATGATTTTTGTCGGTGTAAAATATCAACAATCACTTGCTAATGTATTAGCATTATTAGGATATTAATCCCTATTGTAATAGGGATACTGAATTGGTAAATCTCTAGCTCTGACCATTATTTAATTAGTTTTCTGTTATCAATTTGGTTGATCGAATGTGAGATAGTTGAAACTCCACTTGTATGCGCCACGGGTTCTTAATTTTTATACATTGCTGAGTGTTCGAAGTTGGTCTTTTTGATTTTTGAAGTGAAATAGTAATAATATACTTGGGTTTTCCAAATTTTAATTAAATATTAGTACGACAATTTTGATATTTTATCCAAAATATGATTTACTAATAATTTTTTCGAACTAAAATGTATTTATAGTTTATATAATATATATGTCTGATATCGTATAGAATATTAATACTTATAATATATTATATAAAAGCAAAAAAAGAAAAATAATAATTGCTTATACATGTTATTTAGTTGGTACGTTTTGAAAAGACTATTGACATTTGATCTTTCGTGATAATATGCAGTGTGAAGTCAATATATTTGAGTATTCAATATTTCCTCATACGATTTTTTTCTTGTGCAATTTTTTTTTTTAAACAGTTTGAAGTTATAAGTTAGGTATTTTTTAATTTTTACAAATCAATTAAAATGTTTTTTTAGAAAACTATTTTTTTAAATGTTTATCTTAAGAATACAATCAAATACATAACTATTAATTATTGATGAAGATAATTAATATATAGCTTATAATATCAGATAATAAAAAATTTCGTTATTTCAAATATATGTAGTTTTGTAGATAGGAGTAATTTATTTATTTTTACTGAATATCAAATTTTTAAAAAAGTAACCTATAGCTTCTATTGCAATATCACAAAATTTGATGTTTAAATAACATTTTTATGTATGAATTATCAAGTTTCTAACTTTTTAAAATGGTGGAGGGGCTTTCATAAAGGTTTACATTATTAAAAGGATTGTCCTCGGTTAATTTTAATATAATAGTGCACCTAGTTATTATTCATGTAGCGCTATTTATAAGATATACTTATTACTTTTACAAATCATTTTCCAAAATATTTCCGTAATAATATGTGTGTAACAATGGCATATTTTCGGAGGGGAGGGGTATCCCTGGTCTTGATCAATCCCAGAAAAAAAAAACATTTTCGGTTTAGCGATGTTATACATAAATGAAAACTATTTAATAACGACTGTAGAAATTATTGATGAACTGCAAAAAAAAAAAAAGACGTTTACCTTTTTTATAACAAAGAACTCTTAATTCGTATTTATAATATTTGTAATAATAGAATAATATAATTATTAATTAATACCTTTATATGTATTTTTATAATATTATAAAATCACTTTTGAAAATATGCTACTGTCTGTAACTTATTTTTACTGTTGCAAATAAAAATTAGGTTTTAAATAAACATATTTTTAACTTATTAAATTATTTTTAGATAGAATGTGTTAATTTGTTATAAATATCAGAAAATTTGTCTTTGTTTAAGTATTTTGTCTTTCCTAAAATCCAATTTTCAATTAAATTATTTAGAAACAAGAAACCATAAATACATATGTAAGAAAGAATAATACCAAATACGGACTATACTTCTAAACTATGAAACCGTGCGAGGTATTGTAACGGTTTGTTATCCGGAGTATAACTGGATTTAACGTTTATTCTTCAGACTACAGAAACTGCATATTATTTAGTGCACAGTTTGAAATGATATAGTTTTTAATATGTATTTATGAATTAACCCACATAATATGATGGAAATAAATGTAGTTGTACTTAACGTACATATTCTAAAATTAAAATTTTCATCGTCACTATATAAATCTATACACATTGACCAAAATTTAATTTAATTAGAATATTTAATTAGTAAAACATTGACAGAGTCTATCCATAAACGTGGGAACAGGTAGTTCCGGGTGTGACCAGACATCATAAAAATGTATATAGGACCCTAAAATTGAAATCTAAGGGCATGAGGCCCTTATTTTAACTGATGTTGTTCAAATTAAATTTAATTTTTTTTTTTTTTTTTTTTTTAATGAGATTTTAACATTACATTATAATATCTCGACAATTATATACATGAATTCGAAATAAATTAAGGTTGGTAAAGCTCACACTCTTAAATTCGGAGACCTGATTGCAGGATAAAATTTAGCGTATGTTTAATTATATTGGTATTGTCGGTTGAAAGAGCATCAATAAGGGAAAAATTAATACCAGAGATGAAAAAGAGAATCTTTAGTTGAGATCTTTGGATAGATAGAGATGGACAATTAATGAGTAGGTGATGGAAATCACAGTATTTTCCACCACAGTTGGGTAGAGGACAACACGCACTACTGTTGAGTCCCAATTTAAATGAGTGGTGTGGTAATAGGCTATGGCCCGTGCGTAATCTAGTGAATTTAGCTATGGCTGCACGGCTCATCTTTAGGGAATGAAACCATGGTCGATTAGGGATGTTTTTAAATAATGACCTATAACCAAAAGCATAGGATTCTGGTAAGGAATCCCATTCCAGCTTCCATTGTTCATTTATAACTTTGCGATTATTTAATTTATTCTAAACTATTTGGTAAAAAATACTTAAAATATATTCTGTTGTAGAAAAAATAAAAACTAAATTTTCTAAATTTTCGTCCAATATTTTATTATGATTATAAAACAGCTATAATTGACTACAAGATTACAAATCATAAATAATTGAAGCTATCTGAAAATAATATACGAGATTCAAGTAAAGCATATTCATTGGTAGTAATATACTACAATATTAAATAAAAAAATTAAAATTTTGTTTATTTAATTTAATTTAATTTATTAAGATTTACGGGCTTAACCCTTCAACAATACTACATAGCATAAATATAATATACAATAACAAGTGACAATGCTTATAAAAATTATTTTAATTATTTATATAATTTATTAAATATACATTCCCATTTTGTTAAGATAGGGCCCAAAAGTATTATAGGCACCCCAGGGCCGTATTGAGATTTGATGGCGCCCCTGGATGTATTTGCGCTACCCCACAAGGGAAATTTGCATTTTTTGACAAAAAATAATTTTAGATATATAAAGCATGTATAAAAACATAGTATACAAGGTGATAATTACTAATAAACTTTAATAGCTATTTGTATTACTTTAAAATATAAACAATCAATTCATTATAAAAACATGTCATTTTCTTTAAATGTTTTAGTTTTACAATTGTGTTAGATGATTTTAAATTAATTTTAATACAATATTACTATGGTACTTTTTTTGGTTTTATAGAGGCAAATTTATCAATGACATTATCAAATGAAATTGTTTTAACTACATATTTTTCTATTGACAATGTAGCCGTACTAGTGAGACGACTTTGACCTATTGTTGATCTAATATCATTTTTTATAATTTTCAGCTTACTGCAGCTTCTTTCACAAATAGTATTTGTGACAGGAATCATTAAAAATATTCGTAGTGCCACCTCTAAGTTCGGATATAAATCTTGTAAAAAGATGAATATGCTTTAGAACACCGGTTCTCAAACTTTTTTTTTCCACGGTCCCTTTTTTTAGACCCAATTTAGCCACAGTGCCCTGTTGTGAATAACATTAAAGATAGAACAAAAAAAAAATACTTATTGATAACCCATTTTATTAATTTTATTAAAATTTATCTTAATTATAAATTAATGCATTTTTAAACTTAAAAAATAAATAAATAAAAATTATTGTTATTATGATTATAATTATTATATACAAATATAAGGTTAATATGAGAATATACGAATATACAACAGAAAATATTACATTATTTGCTATAAAGTTTTTACTAAAACAATAAGGAAAAACAATTTAAACCTTTTTAACTATTTATTATCTACCGTAGACCGTGTTGCCCTTAGAAAGTGGTCGTGGTGCCCCTAGGGCACCGCGATGTACAGTTTGGGAACCGCAGCTTTAGAATATCTATTTTGGTAATAATTTTTGGTAAGTTATATCAATTTTCAAATGATGTTAAATTTGGTATATCGTATGTATTATTTAACAAAATAATTAAACAAATTTAAATAAATATGCATTTTCAAATATTTTGTGAAAAATATTACATAAGTAGTGTTGACATTTGCGCCCTTCTTAAAATTGCGTCCCTGGCCCATGCTCTTTTACCCTGCACTAAATACGGCCTTAAGGTACCCCATAAAATACGGGTCCGCGCATGCCAATGAGTCTATCCTTTTATTGAAATAACTGTAATTACTCGTTATAAAAGTCCTTTATGTAAGGTTTTTACCGTAAATTTATATGTTTATAGCTAATAAAATCCTATGTACCGTGTAAAATTTAACTATTTAAAACTTTGTGAAATTATTAAATTTTACTTATGCAATTATAAGATAACCTTGTAAAGTTATTTATAAATATTAAATTATTGTCAATATCAAAACTTAGAAAATTGTTATTATCAATGATTACACATCAAGTTTTTAAAATTACAGCGTTATAGGTTAACGTCTGTATAGGCTAGTTTTGATGCAGTAGATAATTATCAACGAAAAATATTTGCATTGTCTGGTAAATTTATTTTTAAATTTGTTAAAAACATTGTATAAAAAAAATGAAGAAATGCTAATTTGAATATTGGGAGTGTTATCATCCGTTCCTTGACTAGTAAGGTTAGTTAACCTGGTTACTAACCTGACCATGTGTATTTTATTTTTGGACCCGCAAAACTAGAAAGTAATAGGGAACCCAGAAATATAGCACTTGATAATATTAATTGAATAATCCAATAAGTTATGGGTTTAAAGATTTTAGAAGAGTACTTTTTGGCTGTATTGGTGTTTTATTTTGTATTGCAACTTTAATTATCAATCGGTAGAGTCATATAATTCTATTCCAATTATAAATTATGAATAGTAAATATCTTATATATTTAAATTGTGTATTAAAATATTGTTAATGAGTCATTCAAACTTATACGGTTTTAATATTGGATGATATTATTGAAAAATTGTTTACAAATTAATAATCACCAAGAAAAATATAATATAATTGTTATCAAAGTTCATGGTAAAATATTTTATGTGTATATTCTTAAATTTTGTTTTGTATTTATTAAGGTTCATAAAGTGATAAAGTGACATTACCAAGCAAAAATATGATATGCCATATCGCGTGGGGTGATTAATTACTAGGTAGGAATAATAATTACTAATAAATTGGATAATTGGTGGAATATAAAATAAAAAAAATCGATATTAAATATAACATAATTTTACTGGTTTTACTTTTTTAAATGTGATGTTTGTGAACCTAAAAAATCTATTTTAAAGTTCTTGATGGCTCTATTAAAGTTCGATTGTTAGTTTCTCTAAGATGTCACATTTATTTAATCGTTATTCATTCAAAAAATCTGAACAAAATGAATTATAGTGTTTTGTGATTAAAACTTGTAGTAGATTTTATTTAATAAAGTGCTAATTATTTATTTAAAATCATTGGTGTTTGAAAAACAAATTAACGTGGTTTAAAATATACTCTACGAAATTCATAAGTACGACTTTATTGTGACTACAGCAAATAGTAGTTGTTATATTTAGTGTTTAATAATAATTTATACAGTTATATTTAAATCGACAAAAATTGATTGTGTTTTCAGGCGTTGAATGATTACATAGTGAAGTTTGGAAATACATACTCGTATTATTTATCTGCGGAATCTAAAGTAGAAAAGCTGTAAGTATACAATTTTTTTATTCATTAAAATTCTAATACTAAATGATCATGATAAAGTCATTACAGAGGCACCATTTGGGAGAGAATATTGCGTGAATTGATATCCCTATATTCAATAAATAAACTGAATTAGTTTATTTTATATCTTATTATTCTTATTAGCATAATTAAATAAAATCAACCGAACTTTGACATTCTTAATAGAAAACTGAAGTGGCATAATCACTGAATGTGTGCAAAAATTCTTTAATATATTAATAACCATATAAATGCTTATATTACAAAACTCAAATACAGATTACTATATATATATATATATGTTCATCAGCGTACAATATTCAGTATATATGTTGATTTTTCAAATTTAAATTTTGAACTTTACAAAATATAACAGAATATTTTAACATTTTATGTACTCGTTAAAAATAATTTAAGAATTTTTCCATTTAAGCATCAATATATTATTTTAGTAAAGAACAGATGTCTAGAATTTTTACTCCAATTTTACTATCCATAAAAACGTAATTATTTATACTTAAGAAAAAGTCAAATTTAAACAATGGAGTGCATTTTCTGAAAAATATGGTTATAAGTTATATATAAAAAGATCATGATGTACGAGCTTACATAAATTATCCAACGAAAGCACTTATAACATTTTTCGCGAAAAATTTCAATTTAACATAACACAGTATTATAACAGTATTTTCAATCGTATTTGTATGTATTATACACATTCATTAATCATGAAGGCTATCATATTTACGAACATGATTTAATTTATATACATTTATAATCAATTATGCCTTTAATAAAATAAAATTATCAGTTCCATTAAGTCATCACTTCCCATTCGAAGAACTTAATACAACATATTTGGGTATTTGTAGATAAAATTACACTTAAAAAACACTCGAGTGTTTTATCATTATATCAATGTCATTGTTCAGAAATTCGTCGGGAAAATGAGAAAATGTGTGTAAAGATTACATTTTTCTATTTTGTTAACCGTCTTCCAATTTGAGGCATTTTATATGATTAATCGAACTACTTGTTGAATATATTTCCATAATGCAGTGAAATTGATTTATTTGGCTTATAGTTTATGAGAATTATTATTATTGTTGATAAAGACGATATACTGCATTTCCTGCTAATTTCGATATAAGAAAAAAGTTATCTTTTTTCAGCCAATTATGTTTTAATATTTTATTGGGTTACAATGACTGATTTATTAATTAAAAGCAAATATATCGACGAGTTTCACCTCTCCTGTTGTATTATAATGATTTTTTCATAATCCAATCTCTAACAGAATACGATTTATCCTGATAGATAAATCGGTTTCACTGGAATCTTTATCCTTAACCTCGCAAAACTCGACTTTGACGGCCGACACGACCGTTAGTACTCGCAGCAAGGCGCAACGGCGGTTTTTTTTCCAGTGTTTAAGTAAGTACACATTGAAGTCTATAATATTATCGAAAAAATTGACGGCGGCAACGATTAACTTGTTTTGAGACCGATAGTGGTAGAAATCGTCGGACGTAGTGGGAGGAAATCTTGTATTGGCACTGAGGCCGTGTGCGATTGTGATAACGCGCGCGGTGACATCTCTCGTGATAACGATAAATGTGCCCATACAAAGCCGACGACGAAGTGTATTGACGCGCTCGTACGAGCAGGAATATTTTAAGGTCGAGATTCTCTTCTTCCGGTCGTGGGATGGTGGTTAATCGGGACGGGCGGAAAGGTCGAGGAGCCGAAGGATCCGACGGCGGTCGTCTTACGAGACGCGTAAGGGATTGCAATAATGTATGGGCGGCGGTGGCGAAACCTTTGAACGGGACGGCAGGAGTACGTGGTGGCAGTGCGGCGGCGGTACAGTGGAGAGAAGAAGTTTTCGCCAAATCGGTCGGAGACGGGTAGCGGTGGCAATGGTTACGGAACGGCGACGCGTTGTCACCTGCCCGCATTGCCAATACACAGTAATACACACACACACACACACACACGTGCGCGTGTGTGTGTGCGCAAACACACAAACATTCACGCACGCACGTACACCGGGAAAATTACACACACACACTCGCGGGCGTGCAGAGCGGGCGGCAGCAGCCAAGCAGCAGCAGCAGCAGCTCAGTGTCGGTTGCGCTGTTTATTAATTCGGCCGGCTTAGCCGCAAACGCATGTGTACCGCCGCCACCGCCGTCGTCATCACCGCCGCCGACCGCGTTCGTGTGCGTGTATCGACAACGCACGCACGCACTGCTTACCCGTCGACGTCGTCGTCGTCGTCGCCACCGCCGCTACCACCACTACCGCCACCACCGGCCGCCGCCGCATAGTAGTATTATTATTATTATATAGTATAGCGTAGTAGTGTTCGCCATTTAATCGCCGCGACGGGTTTATGCTCATTATCACTCGTCGTTAGTTTTCGTGTGTTTTTTTTTTTTTTTAATTTTTTTTTTTACAATCATTCCGTTGAAGCAACGACTGCTCGACGTTACGAAAATTATCCTCAACGATTTCGCCTATTCCTTTGGGTCGAGCCACAGCGAGCGTGTGTCTGTGTGGTGTGATCATCGTCCGTTTGTTTTTATTTTTTTCAAATTTTTAATAATTTCTGTCTTTCCCCCGACATTCGATTAATCCCGTCGAGTGCGGCGCTCTCCGCGATCGTTTCGTTTGCGTGTTCCGGAGTGTACGTGTGTGTGTGAACGAGTGTTTTCAAACGTCCGTCATTCGTGCCTGCGCGCACGCATAACACAACAATGTTCCTCGCCGACCGTAGCACAACGTCGCCGTCGTCGTCGCCGCCGCCAACGTCGCCGCCGCCGCCGCCGCCGTCGCCGTTGTCCACTGCGACCGTTTGCGAATAGTTAAAAATCGCACCGTGTGTGTTTTGAGTGCGTGTTTCGGACGTAGCGAAATTTTACCGACGCCGCCGTGTCCGGCGTGTGCGCGCGCTCCGACGCCGCCGCCGCCGTCGCAGCGGTCTCGTTTGTCTCGGAAATCGTAGCCGCCACCGCCTACGCCGTCGGTCGAATTACCACGGCTGCCACCTCGAACAACGGTATTTATCAACCATCCATCGTTACATTGTCGTTGTATTTCGCGTCCGTATTGTACTGCCACTTCCGGCGGAGAAACTTTCATTATCAGTTTTTTCCGCACGCGTGTTATCACACGTGTGAACACACATTGATAACGCGCGACAAGGCTCCAATCGGCTAAAGTTATCGGTGTGTTCGAGACCGCGCACCCTTCCCCGTTACGCCATCAATGTGATTTTTGATATCGGTCATTTATCCTCTCGTCGGTTTATTTGGTTAGTCGGTTATTACCCTTAAATTATAATTCTTATCTACGCCATTTATTGTGATACGTGCGTCACCCGTTTTTTTATTGTTAAGAAAAAACCGTTATTGTTTTTCCAGATTACAAATGAAACATTGGCAATATGAACTGACGGGATGACGGAGATCCATTGGCTATCAGGAGGTGGTGAGTACAAAATTCGGTTTATAATCTACGGCTTTTTTTTTAGTTTTATTTTGTTTCTGCGTAAAACTTTATTTGCATACTACTATATCGCTTATCACCGCAGTCTTAAAAGCTGTCCTCGGTATCTGTTTTTTCTCCACGTTTATCTCAACGTGCTCCTGTCGTGTGTAGATCCTTCGCTACCGACGGTTGTTGTTACATTTACAAATTAGCACACGACTCCTATTCGTGCATTACATGAATTATGAATAATCTGCTGCAGTTAAAAAAAAAATGAAAAATATACAATACGTAACTCGACTATTAATAATCAGTGAGGCCAACGTGAACAGAAAAATAAACTGCAGCGGTCCTTGTTGTGTCCTAACCCCTAGTCCCCTCGCCGACCGCCCGTGTAATAATACCGGTGAGTCTGTGGTCCGCCACTGAACCTCTCGAACGCTTTGTTTGTGTGTGTGAGTGTATTTGGATCAAACTGAAGCGGCAACGATGGTTGTGCGTGTCTAAACGACTGTATAACAATCGCTGCTCGAAATCGTTTATTACACGACGAGCAGTCTGTATTTTGTTATTGGTCTGTTTGATTTCTATTATTATAATAGCTACTGCGCGCGTCGACCAAGAAAAATGTATATAATACACATAACAAACGCATATAAAAATGCATATGTATCGTAAATAACACATGTTCAAAGGTGTACCGTTCTTTGAAATATAAAATAACAATTTTCTAGCCACAGTTACCTCCCGTGGTCGAGAGGTAATATTCTTTTCCGTTTTTTAAAAACGACATTCCTGAATTAGCCATCGCCCTCTGTTCCACATCATCACTAACTTTTCACTGCGTACAATAACCTAGTTATCTTAAAAATTCTTTAAATTCGTTCCTACCTACCACGCATGTCGACTATATTCACTGTACGAATTAAAGGTTAATCACCTCGTCGAATAACCGTCGTTTTCATTATTCTTCTCTTATCTTTCTCTCGTGCTCATTGAATCATTGGCGGGGTAATCCCCCGTGATACGAGTGCGCAAGCTAGGGAAACAAAACGGTTTGTCAAAACTACTCTTGAAAAGAAACGCGGAAGAACAATTGGGGACCACAGCGTTTGACGGTGTGTACACGTTATGTTATAATAATATTATCGTCATAGCTTATCCACGCGCGTATAAAACATCTAAACTGGAAGGAAATACGTAAACCGTTTCATTTTGAATATAATATCGACCGGCGTCCAGGTACCACTGGTAATAGAGAGGATATCGGACGAGGAAGACGATGGTGGGGTGGGTTGTATGTGTATATAAATATATATAGCATATATGATTATATGTGTGCGCGTTCGGGGTGCAAAATCGGTGGCGACGGTGGTGGTATTCAACAGGGGGGCGAAACGTCGTCGTTTCTCGGTTGAACCGTCAGAGAGGTTGTATCGTATACATGTATACGTATTTCTGCGAGTATATGTGTGTGTGTGTGTACAATACAATAAAATGGCGTTTTCTATTGAACGGCAGTGAGCTCCGGAAGAGGATGGGTGGCGGTGGCTGTGTGGCCGTAGCTGCGGCGTAGGCCAGCGGGCTGGTGGTGGTACTGGTGGTGAACCGGTGAAGGGGTGAAAGAGAGTGACGGTGGAGAGACGTGTATATTTATTATGTGAGGGGCACACTGCTCTGGTCGTTTCGCTAAACATAGCCACATACATATATATACATACA